GCTGTACTCTGCCAGCACGTAGGGGCTGACAGAGGTCTGGGTTATCGAGGTCTGCTGGAGGCGAGAGAGATTGGTGCCCTGCTGGACCCTCCTCCGGAGTGGGGTTCCAGGGTGTTGGCGCTGCAGCCATAGCTGCAGCTTTCTTCCTCAGAGGTCATCTTGTCAGGGTTTGGTGGCGCTGCTGCAGAATTCCACCCGGGAAGTCTTCCGACACTTCGTCATCATCAGATACTGTGGCGCTGGTCTTCTTCGTCATCCTCTGAGTGGCGCTTGGCCTCAGAGGCCTGTTTCAGGGTGGCGCTTCCCTCAGGAGGCTGTATTTGGGTGGCGCTTGATGTTTCAGGGTCTCAGGGGAGTTACGGGTGTTAATCAGGGTTGGGGAGTGAAGCGCTGCTCATTTCTGAGCAGCGCATTGTGGTTCTGAAGTTATCTTGACAATTCGAGACTCTAAGGTGAATAAATAGTGTGTAACTGTGCTTGGACTATCATCGTTTCATTGTTCCCTGGATGTGATCTGCTCGGCTTTTCTCTATGACTGGTTGTGAGGATTGAGTGGAGTGAATTGCACTTTCAGTGTACCCTGTCATATCACATGGTGAAGTCTTCTGCTGTGTTACCTCTCCCTGTGCGGTGTGATACTCCTATCCTCTCCCCTTCCTTGTGTGTATGTATGGGCATACCTGGAAGTCTATGTGAGTGAGTGTTGGCCTACAGGCAACAAACAACCAGAATCATAACAGTTGGTATCGGAGCAATTGGATCCAGGCTCTGGAGCGACTGATGAGTTGGAGCACCCATCATCATCTGGCGAGATACTGGAGTTGAGTTTCATGGTGATTCATCATCTTCAGGGTCGTTGTCAGTAAGGGTGGTGGCTGTGAGTGTGTAGTGAGAAGAATTGGGCAGAGAGTGGCTCACTCCCGACTCGGGTTGTGCAGGAGTGGTTGGCGATTGATAATCAGAGGCCTGAGAGGCTCTGAGAGGCTAAATATAGCCTGGTGATTCACCTGGAGGTTGGCGATTGTCAAGGAAGTGATCCCAGGAAGTGGCGATAGTGGAATTGGGTCCATCTCCCCAATTCCCAGGCAGCGCAGTGCAGGGTGATGTGGCGCTGCACTGACTTGATCAGTTATTGGCACCTGGGAGTCTTCATTCATTGATTCTGTCAGTTGGGGGTGAAGCGCCTCAGGGTAATCTACTGGATCACCAAGTTTTAGGCAATTTGGTACGTGGGAACACTGGATACTGTCAGGAGATGAAACTGGCGAGATGGGGTTGACCAGTCAGCCACAGCCAGGGTTTCATGCATCTTCTTCAGAGTTTATCCTGAAGTAAGTGTGTTCCTTACTCCATTTTGTGTGGCGATTTTGGGGCTATTTTTAGAATAGTGAAATTTGGTATGTCTGTCAGGTGACAGTTGAAAATCGAAATTCAGACTGTGGGACAACCATATCCAATTTCGACCTTCCCTCTTGCTCATATTTCATATGGGACTGCATTACAGTATTGCGATTGACACTGTGCAGTGAATTGGTGAATTAAGGGGTCTATTGTCAGTGATAATGCAAATTTGAATTTTGCGCTAACATAGCTAAAGCTAGGCTAGACTAGGGCCAGTCATAACTTTAATTCTGTCCGTCAGAATTCAGTTTTGTCAGTCCCTGGTAAATCGCAATTCAGTATTCAGTCAGTGTATGAAATCGCACATCCAGATTTGGTGTTCTGAGTCAGTTGCAGTGAAAACTGTAATCCGCCATACCCTGGGTATGGCATATAGGGTCATACAATGTTGAGGTATGTAGGATAAGTCTAAAAATAGGATAACCTGTAAATCGCTACATCTTGGTCATCAGTGGATACCTATCGAACCCTAATTAGTCACTCTGTCTAAATTCTAATCAACACTAATTAGTCCAAGACTGCATCGTGTTAGTTGTTGATACAGGATTTGCAAATTTTGGCATGCAATTGCGGTGTCAAGGCAGGGATGGAAAAATCGTGAAATTGGTTTTTGCCTGAGTGAACTTTGAACTGACCCTGACCCTGACCCTGACCCTCAAGCGGCTTGCTGAGACTGAGCACTCACTTGCTCAAATTAACCAAGCTTCTCTCTCCAGGCAGGTAACAGCCATTGAGTTAGTACTGAAGGGAAATCTCAATTCCTGTTACCTCCTGCGCTGTCTCTGAGTGTTTGTTTATTTTTATTTATCTGAATTGTGGGAAATTCAAAATGGCTGATGCAGGGAAACCAGAAACTTCTGAGGTCAAGCCTCAGATTCCGTTGGACCCTTTAGAGGCTGAACTGCAGGCCCGGGAGGAGAAACTCCACCAGTAGGCCCAGGCAGTTGAGACTCTAAAGATTGAGCTGAAGAAAAAAGAGGAAGCAGCCCAAAAGGAGGCAAGGAGAAAGTTACTAATTGCAGATGTGGAGAAGATCAGGGTTAGTGGGAGTTCCAGTCAGTATAATAAGGACATGGCTGAATTCATCCTCTTGCAGGATGATATTAACCGTTCTTATTTTACTAACTGGGATGGCCGGATCACAAGTCTGGAGAGCAGTCACTCATCTTTTTCTAGAAAGTTGGATGACATCTCTGCCGAACTGGATCTGACCTTCACTCACCTTAAGATCCCT